CTCAAACTTTGTTTTGGGCTCCATGCAAGTTCCTGCCACCCTTATCCCAACCCAGGAGAGCAAATACTCCTCAGCACCACCAGCAATATGACTACTCGAAGAAGGACTTTAGAGCAGAGAAGAGGTGTTAAATGCAAAATCCTGATGCATGGTTCATACCCTTGTGATCCTGATTCAGAGCCCATCAGTGTCAATGAGAAGATATTTGGCTAGAAAAGGATGGTTCCTTCTGGAAGAACAGGTTTTGTTCTGATATACTATCACTGTGCTTCCCGTTTTGCTGGCAAATATGAAAATCATAAGGAAAGATGTTCCCCTGTGTTCAAAGATGACGACTTCAGGCGTGCTGTCTCCCTTGCCTAGCTTCAGCAGGATCAGGAGTGTTGTTCTCTGCGTTGTTAGATGCTCTTGCTGCTATTTCTGTGTTGCTCTGCTTGATTCCTTGATGCTAGGCACTCCATTTGAGATGTCTTGTTTAAAGAAAAGATACCTACTTTCTTTAAATCTTTCTTTCCAATTAATCAGCAGTGGAGTTTCTGCCAACAGCCAGGCAGCCAGCCTGTCTCCCTGCGAACGCAGAAACGTGTACTGCTTTCAGGATGCTACAACGCTACTTGTGGTAGTGCCTGGCACAGTGTGGTTTGGTATAAGCAGCAAGGACATGACTAGAAGAAGTTGGCATCCATACCCACACAGCAAAGGCAAAATGAAAAAAGGATGTAAAGAAAAGGAGTGAGGTGATCTCCCATCAAGACGGGGGCCATGAAGATGAGCTGAGGACTGGAGCACCTCTGCTATGGAGGCAGGCTGAGAGAGCTGGGCTTGTTCAGCCTGGAGAAGAGAAGGCTCTGGTGAGGCAAAGCAGCTCCAGTGCCTAAAGGGGCTGACAAAAAAGCTGGAGAGGGGCTTTTGAAAAGGACCTGCAAGCATAGGACAAAGGGGATGGCTTTAAACTGACAGAGGGGAGACTTAGATTAGGTATTAGGAAGGAGTTCTTCCCTGTGAGGGTGGTGAGGCACTGGCACAGGTTGCCCAGAGAAGCTGTGGCTGCCCCATCCCTGGCAGTGTTCAAGGCCAGGTTGGACAGGGCTTGGAGCAAGCTGCTCTAGTGGAAGGTGTCCCTGCCCATGGCAGCGGATTGGAACTGGACGAGCTTTAAGGTACTTTCTAACCCAAACCATCATGTGATTCTGTGATTCTGTGAAAGAATACCTGGCCACCTGGGGACGTGCAGAAAATCAGACTCCCCCTCTGCCCATGGCCCTTCTGACATCAATACCCAGGAAGATAATCTAATCTAATCTTATCTAATAATCCTACATAATCTTCCAGAGTATCATGAACTGCATCTTGCAATGATATATCTGATAGCAGCGAAGTAATGAGCCTGTTACAGATTATGTTGTCTGTCTGAAATAATTATTTTTGGCTTCAAAAGCAACATTACTTCCTCACCATATATTCCAGAAAAACTTTGCTAGCCTCAGATAGATACTGCAGAGAAAATGCAGGTCTGATCTCTACAGCCTGGGCAAGGCATGGTCTGGCTACTCTGCTATGCAGGCTGAGGAAAAGAAATATGTTCACATGCAGCACCAGCCACAATAAAGGCTTTCTGGTTCTTCTTGACTGGTTCCAGCTTCTAACATTACATAGATACATATAAAATGAATCTCATCGATATATAATCTGCCTTTGATTCTACAGAGTTTAAGGATATTACAGAAATGATTTGAAACGTCAGAAATACCGAGTCCTCAGTACCGGAGAGACATGAACATGTTGGAGAGGGTCCACAGAAGGGCCACAAAAGTCATCAGAGGGCTGGAGCACCTCTCCTATGAGGAACGGCTGAGAGTGTTGGGCTTGTTCAGCCTGGAGAAGAGAAGTCTCTGGGAGACCTTATTCTGGCCTTTCAGATCTTAAAAGGAGCCTATAAGAAAGATGGGGAGAGACTTTTCAGCAGGGCCCGTTGTGATAGGATGAGGGATGATGGTTTTAAACTAAAAGAGGGAGATTCAGGATGGGCATAAGGAAAAGATTCTTTACAAAGAAGGTGGTAAAACACTGGCACAGGTTTGCCCATAGAAGTGGTGGATGCACAATCCCTGGAGACAGTCAAGGCCAGGCTGCATGTGGTTATGGGCAACCTGATCTAGATCAAGATGTCCCTACTCACTGCAGGGGGGTTGGACTTTGAAGCTTTGAAGGTCCCTTCCAACCCAAACTATAGGTACATAGGTGATACATACCCATGGTGACAGGGAAAATGCAAGGTATTCTGACATCTCCCAGCCTTCTGAATTTTCAAGGACAGAAACGGGGCCTGAACTGGAATGTTTTTATTGGTTTGAGTACAATGACTTAAATATGGCTTGTGTTCTGTCTTGCCTGAACAAGCCCTGTGCACATAGCATCAGCTGGAGCTCCTAAACCAGTGCAAGAACACCTGCACAGGCCTTCCTCTCATAAAGTGACATTTTACGAGAAAACAGTACTAATACCATTTTCCTCAGTATGGCTTTGGACACCTTTAGGCAGGCTCCTGTGCTGGCCTCAGGGTAACAGGTTTCTTGTCACTAAAATACAAGCCAGTCAGCACAGTATTTCCCATCTCCTGGAACAAAGAGCAACTTCCAGACTGGTGCAAAGTGATGTAAAATCAGGAGGTCACACAGGGGGAGGGGGCTGAGGAGAGGCTGGAGTTTAAATACATGAATATTGAACTCCATTTGTAGGGGAATTCCTCTTGTACACAGAGCCAGGCAGAGGGCTGGAGGAAAGTAAATCCATTCCTTTCTTTTCTTGGAGACATGCTCACAAGACGACTGCTCTGAGACACTGTGCTCATGCAGGACAAATACTTGCCCCAGAAAGCCCATGAACACAGGGGATGGGAGCACAAAGACAGCAGTGTACAGAAAGCACAGCAATGCTGTAAGCGTGGTGGCAGCTGTGTATTGCAAAGGCCTCTTGACATCTTGATGTGAAGGGGAGAAAGACAAATGGAAACCACCAGAATGGGAAATTGCTCAATGGCAGGATGCTAATTATTTTAAAGATGTGATAACCTGTGCTGTGAAGGGAAAGACAGCAGAAAGATGCTAGGCAGATGACCTGGTTTCAGCTGGGATAAAGTTAGTTTTCTTCCTATTAGCTGGCACAGTGCTGTGTTTGGGCTTTAGTTGGGAGAACAACGCTGATAACACACCAATGTTTTAGTTGTTGCTAAGCAGCAATTACCCTGATCAAGGACTTTTCAGTCTCTCATGCTCTGCTAGTGAGGAAGGGCACAAGAAGCCAGGAGGAAGCAGAGACAGGACACCTGACCCAAACTAGCCAGAGGGATATTCTATACCACAGCACATCATACCCAGTATAGAAAATGGGGGGAGTTACCCAGAAGGGACTGATTGCTGCTCAGGTCAGGCTGGGTATTGGTCAGTGGGTGCTGAGCAATTTTATTGGGCATCACTTATGTTTGTTGTTTTATTGTTGTTGTTTTCATTTTCCCTTTTTTATATATCTCTCCTTGTTACTTCCCTTACTACTATTAGTACTGGTATTATATTGTACATTATTTCAGTTATTAAACTGTATATTCTTTTGATTCAGCTAAGGGCTGGTGAGAGAGATACCAAGAGATGGGATGGGGTCAGGATGCAGGAGACAGAAGATGGTTTGGAAAGAGAGGAGAGCAGAGGGATAGCTACTGGCACTTGGTCAGTTTATCAGCTCCTCTTCCCTTAAGTGTCAAACATGGAAGTAGAAGAAACACAGGTTTGAGGGGTCCAGGGTGTTATTAGGAAAGTCTGCAGAGGAGTTCACACAATGAGAGCAGCTCAGCTCACTCGCCAGTGCATGCTGGTCTGCTGGAGCTCCCTGGGCTCCACTGATGGGACAGGAGCTTTGACACTTCTCCCCGCATGTGTGTCCTGATCCCAGATCAAATCCCACCTGGATATCCTCAGGGATGTCCTCAGACCAGAGAGGCAAAGCAGAAGAGGAAGATGAAGCTAATCAGGGCTGTAAGGTGGCCTTGCAAGAGAAGAGAGGGGTGAATCCTCAGGGGAGCAGAATCTCTTTGACACAGCACTTGATAGGGGAAAAGAGATAAAAACTATTTCAGGATAGCACACGAAAGAATTAAAGCAAATGAATAAACATGTGAGACAATATTAATTGTCTGAAATACAATCTGTTTGACTTTTGGTTTATAAAGATCTGCTTCAGTTCCCATGGTAACTATTGCGCAAAACCACACTTTTCCTAATCATCTCCGCAGTTTAAAGCAATTTTGTAATCCAATCAAATGCAAAGAAGGTAATTTGGGTCTTGCATTGAGAAAACTGCTACCTAATGAGCTAACAGTGACTGGGAGAGGCCAGATTTACAATGATGACCCTAGAGAGACACTTAATTACTGAATAATTAGCAGTTACTTAGCACATAGACGAGTTTATTAACACATACAGGAAATGCTGATGGATAGCAGTTGTAATTCCATGGTCTTCCAAGTAGTCTTCTCAAATGAGAAGCAGCAAGCCTTGCTGTGCATAGATTGCACTTTCACCAGGTAACACAAATTGCGGTCAGGCATGGGTTGCATAACGGCAGAAGCTGAGACTGAAACTCTCTGCTCCCACTGAAGTTCTCAAGAAGCCAAACCCCTAACACAGGGTTTTGCTGAGGCAGCTCAGGCATTGCAGGCATTGGGGAGTGGAAGGATCAAGTTGTTGGATAGGAATGTGTTTTCCAATGGGGCTTCTCTGAGCACAGTCCCCTGTGGAGTTTGAGTTCTGCTAATTCTGGAGCGTGAAAGCCATGTTCCCAGGCATCAAGCCCAATCTCGCTTTTGGGAACTCAGTGGCACCCTTTCTGGGCTTCAGTTTAGGCAGGTAGGGTTGAATTGTTTCCCCATATACAGAGGATTTTTCTGTAGGAGGAAGCACTGATGCATAGATTGCCTTCCTGGAATGAAATCCAGAGCTACAGAAAAGTAACTAGTGCTTGACTTTAATTCTTCTAATGCTGAAGCCCAGAAAAATGTCTGAGTGGAATCGAAATGCCAACTTTCCCAAAAGGACAAAGCCAGAAAACAGCCCAATAAATTAGGCAGGATCAGTTTTGCTTCTTAACAGCAGTACAAAAGGCAGCCCTAGGCCTGTCTGAGACTTTCAAAGTCAGTCTGACTTCACCTTGGGCTTCAGGACAGTGACTTCATGTCTCCTGCCTCATATGATTGCACACAGGAAAGCTCTCTGCATAATCGCTTGGCATTTCCTAAATGCAAGCCCTGTAAATGAGGTCAGGACTCTGGTGCTGTACCTCATCCAAGGACTGCAGAGCTTGGTTCGTGCTTTGAAATAATTACCTGGCCAGCACTCTGCTATCTTCAAGTGGTCCTTCAAAAGGGCAGCCTGGGGCAGGCAGCCTCTGTGCTCCTACTGCTCATTCATCTGGTTTAGTGTTCACCTCATTGTCAGGGCATGTAAGGGGACTTAAATAAAAAAAAGAGAAAAGAGAAAATACATGAAAGTAGAGCTGGTTCAATTTGTTCACATTTCAAGCACAGATAAATTAACATTCTGCAAGAGAATGAAAAAGAGTGGGTGAATTTGGGTGGAATTTTTTTAAATGTTTTTGACCACTTACAGAATGGGCTGAATTTGGAAAATTTGTTCATCTCTGTGGCTTAACTTTGGGGAAAATTTGAGACATTCAAACGTTTCAGTATTTTTCCTTTTTCAGCTCAAAAGAAAGCAAAACCCAAAGGAAGCAGAGTCTACTCCCACTCCTACGCGTGGGATCTGATTTTCTGCAACACAGATGTCATCAAGAAAAGGGTGATTTCTTGATTACACAGACATTTTTCGCTTTCTCATCTTTCACTCTTCATCAAAACCAAGCAGCTCTGTGGGCAGGAGAATGTATCAGCCTTGTTTCCTGGGCTCAGTGCTTCATGGCTGAACATCCTCTTGGCTGACAAGTGTTCTTGTCGATCAAAGCTTTCCCTGTGGTTAAGATACTTATAATTCCTTTTCCCTCTGTCAAACACTAATGAGGGCTTGTGCTTCAGCCTCTGCGCACCAGTAGTACTCACTCCATCTGGACAGTGCTTTTCATGATACTTACAGAACTGGATATTTTTGTAACCCCAGCTTTGGTCAAAATGATGAGCCATATTTTCATGGTGTGTTGGTGGGAAGGGCTGTAGCTGACCACAAAATCCCCTTTACTTCAGATCCTCAGAGAAATAACCTAAAACCCCTAGGCCTTGGACAAGGAAGAAGTCCTCTACATCAACACCTTGAAAGACGACCTGGTGTCCCTAGCAGGAAATTCAGGTCATTCCTAACAGAAAGTTTCCTTCCACCGCTCTCTTCCCCGTTCAGAAGCAGCCTCAACTCTGCCGCCGTGTGGCAGCGCTGAAAAAGAGCATGAATTAAAAATCACCAACTAGTGAAAAAAAATCACCTCATCGGTGCGGAGTTCACCCCACCTGGGAGGAAAGTCCCCGCTCCGCATTGGGGTTGATTGTACAAACAGCCATTTGCACCTTCTGACCACCACCACCAGAACTTCAGCCCGCAGAGGAGAGGGTGTCTTGCAGAACTGCTTGGGGCTTTCTCATATGTGGACAGTTGGTGGGGTTTGCCAACGGGAAGGCTGTGTGCACTCTTAACAGTGGTCCCTGGGCTCGGGAGAGTTTTGACCAGTGATCCTACTTTCCCCTTTGAGCGGTGGTACAACTGGAGGCCTATGTTGGTTGTAAAAGCAGGAGACACTGCTCGCAGCAGAGATCTCAGCAGAAAAACAAACCTCTTCCTCCCTACAAACACCATCACTGAATTTTAATGCTAGCACAGCACCTCCAGCACGCAGGATCATGCATTTTTCTCACTTCAGTACATGAGGAGGTGTGGGCATACTCTGAGATAAGACATTAAAGACCTGAAGTAAAACTTAAAGCATATGTTGACCTACAATGTAACTCTTGCCACATGCACAGGGAAAAAGCCATGCATAGAAGCCAGAGGACCCCTCTTTAAATTAAGGATGAAGAAAAGGAGAGTGCTGCCAGGATGGTATTGGAGGCACCTCAAGTTGGTCAAGATCAGAGCCATGAGGCCCTGCAGCCTCATGAACACATAAGGATCTGACATTGCTCCCATGGAGGTATAATGTACTTCTAGGGAAGCATGAGGGTAAGAAGGGGATTTGGCCATGGTGACTACTGGAATAAACCAGTGCTATCGCTCCACACCATGCACATTACTAAAAGTAAGTCAGAAAGCAACAATTTTACTTTCTTTTTCCAAATCTCAAGTCACAGTAACAGAGCAGGCATAAAGGAAACACAAAGGAGTAGTATTTGGAGATGTGTTAATATCTTAAAGTCACTCAGAGCCATCTTATGTTTTCACAGGGTTGGAAGGGGTTGTTGTCTGGGTTGGAAGAGACCTTAAAGACCATAAAGACCATTTCCACCTCCCCTGCTGCAAGCAGGGACACCTTCCACTTGACCAAGTTGCTCCAAGCCCCATCCAGCCTGGCCTTGAACACTGCCAGGGATGGGGCAGCCACAGCTTCTCTGGGCAACCTGTGCCAGAGCCTCACCACCCTCACAGAGAAGAACTTCTTCCTAATACCTAATCTAAATCTCCCCTCTATCAGTTTAAAGCCGTATGTCCTATGCCTACAGGTCCTTGTCAAAAGCCCCTCTCCAGCTTTCTTGTTGGCCCCTATAGGCACTGGAAGCTGCTCTAAGGTCTCCCAAGAACCTTCTCTTCTCCAGGCTGAAGCCAGCTCTCTCAGCCTGTCTCCAGAACAGAGATGCGCCAGCCCTCTTCATGGCCTCCTCTGGACTCCTCTGGACTCACTCTAATAGGTCCACGTCCTTCTTATGTTGGGGGCCCCAGAGCTGGATGCAGTACTGCATATGGGGTCTCACGATAGCAGGAGAAGGGGAGAATCACCTCTGTCAGTCTGCTGGTCACACTCCTTTTGACGCAACAAAAACCATGTTTTTTGTTAGTTAGCTAGTTTGGTTGTCTGGTTATTAAATCTCTTTATTCTTCTGTAAACATTGAAAGATCAGGTGGACATTTCTCCAGTCTGCCTGCGAGGGCCAAGACAAATGGGCTGGAGAAAGAATGCATAAAAGATATGGTCAAGGCTTGTTCTTTCTTGTTCTCAAATGCCTCAAAACTTTATAAAGAAGTGAGACAATGTCAATGTAATAATAACAGAGAGTAAAAGTAATTCACAGCAGTCATTACCCTTAAAATACTTCCTGGAACCACGTGCAGGAGGTATGAAGTCATACTTTTCACCGTCTTTCACACTGTCTCCATAGGAAGGTTGGTATGCCTTTGAAGCTACTCTTTATTTAGAGTAGACACCTACCAGCTCCTTTCTTCTTGAGCCTAGGAGCATTAAATGGCAAAATCACTACCCAGGAAGATAATCTAACCTGATCGGATATAATAATCCAACATAATCTTCCAGAGTGTCATGAACTGCATCTCACAATGAAATATCTGATAGCAGTGAAGTAATGGGTGTGTTACAGATTATGTTATCTGTCTGAAAGAATTATTTTTGGTTTTAAAAGTAATGTTCTTATTGACTGCATTAAATATGGCTTGTTTTCTGTCATGCCTGAAGGAGCCCTAAATCAGAGCAAAAACACCTGCACAGGCCTTCCTCTCACAAAAGTGACATTTTACAAGAAAACATACCATTTTCCTCAGTATGTCTTTGGACGCTTTTAGGCAGGCTCCTGTGCTGGCCTCAGGGCAACAGGTTTCTTGTCACTAAAATACAGCAAAGAGGTTCCAGTCAGCACAGTATTTACTGTTTTCTGGAACCAAGAGCAACTTTCAGATTGGTGCAAAGTGATGTAAACCCAGCAGGTCTGCAGGGTTTCACATCTGGATCATTCTGGAGTAAATAAATACTTGGAAGGCATGTGATGGTCCCTTTGTGTCTGGCTCTGCAGTTGAGTGTGCAAGATAGCACTTTGGTCTCTTTATACACGCGGTTTGCACTATATTCTATGGCTTGTGTATCTTTTGCACTGAAATGCTTTCAGCAGCAGAAGTAGCAACACCTACATTTCTGGCTGCCCAATATTCCCCACTCCAAGCCCCTGCTTTCAGTCTCATTTCTCCTGAGCTGGAATCATGCCTGCTGATGTATTCCAGGCTACCCTGCTGCCTCAGAACCAATATTCTAGCAGGTTCCTGCTAAAATCAGTTCAGCTGTTTGAGACTGAAGCTAGGGAAGCAGGAGGCTTGCCTCATGCAATGCTAATTCTCACTTGTGTGTCTCTGGGTGTATCTCACTTTTCCCTTATTTGGATCAGAAACTGGGAATTTGGTAGTTCAGCCACCCTTGCTTCAGGAACAGGCCTTTGGCACGTCCTGCCAAATGTTGCCAAGCTGCAGCTCCACAATGTTCTTATGAAAATGGGTATGATGGTAGAAGCAGCAGAATCTAATCAAGCATCTACTGGGGCTGGCCCTGTGATCTGAAGAGCAGTCTGGAAATGAGCTGGCTTCTACGCTGATGGCATCTTCTCTCGCTGTACCTCCAAAAGGGAACGGCACCGCTTCTTGCGTGTGAAGAACCGAAACCACAGCAGGATCGCTCAGCCCCTGAGGAGAGGGGTAATTCTGCACCTAGCGCAGGCGAAGGAGGTCAGCAGCACACAGGGGAGGGGGCTGAGGAGAGCTGGGACTTAAATACGTGGATATGGAATGGCGTTGAGAGGGGAACTCGTGGTGCGCACAGAGCCCGGCACAGCGCGGCAGGAACACATCCATTCCCTCACCGCTCCGTACTGCCGGAGCCGGGCCCGGAGCCAGCGCCACGCCCTCACGGCGCTGAGCGCGTGCGTGGGGCGGAGCCAGATGTGACGTGCCGAGGAGGGACGCGGCGCGATTGGCTCCCTCCTCTTCTTCCGCCTCCGTGGAAGGCGGAAGTCAGCACGGGGCAAGATGGCGGCGGCAGGGTGGCTGTGCGCTCTGCTGTGCCTGGCGGCGGCCGCACACGGCAAGCGGAGCCCGGTGAAGGTGCTGTCGGACGGCATGTGGCGGGAGCTGCTGCACGGAGAGTGGATGGTGGAGTTGTGAGTCGGGAGCGGGTCGCTCGGGCTGACGGGGAGGGTACGAGGGGCGTCTCCGCGGCCAGCTCTGAGGCCGTGTGGGACCGGGCGGTGCTGTTCAGTGACGGAGTTGTGCTGCCTCCAGCTATGCCCCTTGGTGCCCCGCCTGCCAGAACCTGCAGCCCGAGTGGGAGAAGTTTGCTGAGTGGGGCGAGGACCTGGAAGTGAACATCGCCAAAGTGGATGTCACGGAGCAGCCGGGTGAGAAGGGCTGGCGGGGACGGTGGTTCCTGAGGTCTTCTCCGGGGCTTCGGGCTTCCCATTGCTCGTGGAGTGCCTGGTGCAAGGGTGTAGCGGTTTAACCCCAGTCAGAAACCAAGGAGAAAGTCTTGAAGCCGGGGCAAAGTGTGTATGCCCTAAGGAAATAGGATTAATAGGAAATTTGAAGTATGAGGCACTGGCACAGGTTGCCCAGAGAAGCTGTGGCTGCCCCATCCCTGGCAGCGTTCAAGGCCAGGTTGGACGGGGCTTGGAGCAACCTGGTCTAGTGGAAGGTGTCCCTGTGCATGGCAGGGGTTGGAACTGGATGAGCTTTAAGGTCCCTTCCAACCCAAACCATTCTAGGGTTCTAAGTTAAAGATCACTTAATGTTTCATAGGCAACTACAGTTTCAAAATTTTTTTTTTAATGTGCTTTTTCCATGCATGTTTTAAAATCATAGCTTTGCAGTAAACAGAATCAAAAAGGCTTTCCAGGACTCCTTCAATATCTTAGCAAATGTTAAAGGAAAAGAATAGCTCAAACTGACAGAAAATTGAGTTGTTTTGGGAAGCTTTTCATTTTGGCATAATTTCATAATTGTAAATGATTCTGTGATTCTACTGAAGGCATATTGCTGGATGTATACTAAAAACTGCATAAGGGAACAAGCAAATTTCTCTGAAGAGTGATTTTGGAGGGTTTCAAGGGGATTTTTGGCTGTACTTTTTAAGCATCATACAGAGCAAAAATGTGGTTTTAGCTTTCCTTGTGGTAGTACCTCGCCTTGTTCCTGCAGATGAAGTTCACTTATCTGAATTGCCTTTCTGTCTGTGTGGTGTTTGTAAAAATTACCTTCTCCATGTTGATGTGGTTCTTTGAAGTAACTTTTGTAACTTCTTCCCATAACTTTTGAAACTTGCCTCACTTGGATTATTTTCTGCAAATGCTGGAGATTGCAGATCGTGTGGGAAAAGGAGAGCATCTCTCAAGAGCTACAGCTAAAATTGTCAAGTAAAACAGTTATCCTTGGACATCTCTTCTCCATGGGGAAACTTTGTAGCTCTTTGTTCAGGACTTTTAGACTGTGTGCAGTACTTTTATATGCACAAGTTTGTGTTTGATCACAATTAAATATTGATACGTGGGGCAGGAGCCATTTTTATTTTGGTGTATAATTAGGCATTTCTTGCCTAATATGTAAGTGTGCTCTGCAATTCTGAAAAATAACTTTTCTTACAGGATTAAGTGGACGATTTGTCATAACAGCTCTTCCTACCATCTATCAGTAAGTATGAAATGCAGCAGATTTCTTGGAGGAGAGAGGATATTTTCCCCACTTTTTACTGGGACAAATAAATGAGACTTCCCGTGCTTTTTAAGAATGTGAGTTACGTTACACATGGACAGCCACTGTCTTACCTACTCTGACCTTGTGTCGTGGTTTAAACTGCCAGCTGATGTTTTTTGTTTTCCTTCAGGCCTTATTTATCCTATCTCCTTACGGGTGTTTTCATTTTGCAATCTTTATTTCTCGGTAGGTTGATCTTAGTGCAGTTATGTGGCAAGTGCATTAGGAAGATCATTATGGAATCACAACCTAGATAACCATGTATTGAGCAAATGCATGTGGAATCAAGATTGTAGAAATACCTGTAGTCAGCAGTTTTGGA